CGCTTTAACCTGAGTGCTGGCGCAGGACCCACGCCGTCTGACGAACCCCAGAGAAACTGAAATTTCACATGTCAGGAATGAAAGGCTGCATTCATGTTTGCCAAGGAAAAAAATGCAAAAGCAAAACTAAAGAGGGGAGAAAGGACAAAGTGGACAAAAGCGATAAAAACGGGAAAGGGGGTGTACAAAGGCAGAACTATGGAAAGGGACATGCTGCCCCACCCCGCTGCCCACCTCCTGGCTCAGGGTCCCATGGAAGCTTCTGGAAGCATCATCTCCAGCAAGGGAGCCCCAGAGAGCCCCTCTCCACCCTGTTTGGGGTCCCCGCCCTCCCCATGCAAAGCTTGCTCAGGAATGAGCAGCACACGGGCCAAGGGCACAGACAGCTGCCCCCGTCTTCCCCTGCCTGGGGTTTACAGAGGGGGCACAGCTCTGCACCCCAGAAAGCCCCCCTTCCCTACGCTCCAGGGATAGGAGGGGCAGGGGGTTGCATGGGGCACCGAGAGCAGAGACGGGGGAGGACCCCGCTTGCATTCCCAGCGAGGGTGGGCTCGCCGGGCACAGCTGCCCCTGGGGCTCGCCAGGGCCCATGCCCTGCCCCCACCTGTCCCCTACAATCATCACTTGCACAGCAGGCCGCACCCTGAGTTACCTCTGGAGGCCACATGGGTCCCAACACAAGGACACGCGCCCGGACATGTGCGAAGACGCGCACGCACCCACAAAGCGGGCCTAAGGCCTTCCAGGTGGAGGGGGGTGCGGGGGGGCAGGGCACGGGGTTTGGCATCAAGAGTCAGACCTGAGGTAGAAGGAAACGTGCAGCAGACACCCCCCACATGGGCGCGGCCGGGAAACCCTGAAGGCGACAGGTCGGGGCATCCACAGGTCGGGCTGGGACGAGAGGAGACGAGGGGGGTTCTCCGCGTGGAGCCGGGTTGTGCGGGGTGGGGAACGACAAAGAGATCCCCCTCCCACCATGATTGTGCTGTTGCAGCGAGAGGGAAGGGCAGAACTTTCCAGAAGGAAAAGCAGAGGGAGACCCCACCCCTAGAAGGCTGGGGGGTGGGAGTGTCAAGGACCCTGAACTATTCCAGACCCAGCAGAGCCCCACACAAGGGAAAACCCAGCCTTGGGGGCCCAGGACCCCGCCTCGGGTCTCCCAGGCTGGCACTGCCCCCCCTCAGCCTTGTTAGGTCAGGCCCCTGAGCCCAATTAGAGAACACAGGCTCGCCCTGGGAACAGCAGAGTCAGTGCCCCACCCCCCACGAAAGTCCCGCAGGGACATGGCGGGTGTCAAGAGGGCCCCCCCACCTGCCTGGGCCTTAGGGCAGACGGTGCTGTCTCCCCAAGACCACGGCCAGCCCCCAGCCTCCCACCAGCTGTGCCCCCCGACACCCACCTTCTAAGCAGGAGGAAGGGTCGTGCGGAGACAGGGTGCGGCCTCCTGTTACTGTACCTACTCCGGGGGGTTGTGGCCCCAAGCCCAGGGGCCAAGAGAGAAGGAACGAGCAAAGTTAAAGAGGAGAGAATGGAAGGGGGGCTTTTAGGTGCCGTCGCTCCAAAAACCTCGCCCTGAGCTGAGCCCGGCTCCCCTGCCCCCCAGATCATCACCCAGAGCAGCCCTCCCCCCCTTCCCCGGGGGCGCCCCCAGGCCATATTCATCCCTGAGACAGGAGCCTGGGAGCTGCCATAGGTGGAGCCCCTCCCACGCCCAGGGCCCTTCATCCATCCGTCCTCCTCTCCAGTTAAGACTTCCAGTCTCTGGCGGGAGGGCCAGCTCGGGAGCACAGGGAGTGGGGGAAAGGCCCCCGGGTGCCCCCGCCCAAAGCACCTGAGTTCATCACCTGTCCTGGCTCTGGCCAGCTGCCCCTCCCCACCCTGCACCACAGGAAACACACGAAGGAACCCAAGTCAGTCATGGGAAAATAGAAAGGGTATTACTTTTTTCTTTTTTTTCGTGGTTGTTTTTGTGTTTTTTTGCTTTTTCAAGTCCAGTTTCCCTGAATGAACACAAATATATAGATATATATATATACTTTTCCTAAGGTTTGATTCCTCCCCCAAGAATAAAATAGATTATTTACAAAACAAAACCCCCAAACCTCTTAAAAACCCTATAGATCTCGAGTATCGCTGTTTCTTAAAAAAAAAAAAAAAAAAAAAAAGTAGTTCCCAAAAGCAACAAGAAAAAAAAAATTTCAGCTGATCTTGGCTCAGGGGTTTCTTTCAACACAAGGAGCTGGGTATGGTGAGTGTGAGATGAATGGGAAAAAAAAACAGACAAAAATGAAAACATACAGTGCAGGGATGTATGAGGTAAACAGGATCGGCTTCCGTGGCAACCGATCTGCACAGAACCAGACCCAGCCAGTTGGCCCAGCCGGGCTGCAGCCCTCAGAAAGGCGGCCCCTCTCTCTTCCGACTTCCTCTGCTGCTCTCACAATTCACGTCTCTGAATGTCCGAACCTGAGTAATTCAAGTGTTCCTTGGTTTTCCCCTGTTTTATTAAATTTTCTTTATATATATATATGTATATATCTTTTTCTTTCTTTTTGGCGTTAGCTGTGGCTCCTTTATGGATACCTCCCCTCCCCACCCGTATCTACCGCCATCCCGGCCCCTGCGTGGCCCACCTCAGACTCCCGCCCCCCCTGCCCAGGCGGGCTCCTGGGGTGGGAGTGGCGGGTGGGGAGTGGTACGGTTAAGGCAATGAGTTATTTGAGGTAGAAGATGTGGCAGGTGTGGACAACCCCGCCGGCCCGGCCTGGCTGCCCGCGCTGCTGCTGGTCCCGCTGGTCCCTGCCCGGCCGCCGCCGCCGGCTTTGCTGGGAGCTGGGTGTGGTGCGGGCGCCGGTGGCTGAGCAAACAGCACTCCTAGCGTGAGGACAGGAGGAGAAACATATCACGTGGTTGGGAAGACGACGCAGCGGGGGCTGCGTCATGGGACGCCATGAGCACGGGCCCCCTGCAAAGTCACCCAGGGATCTGGAGGCCCATGGCAGCCACAGGTCCCTTCTCTGTCCCTTGGCGGCACCTTCGCAGAGCCACGGAGCTGCTCGATGTCCACAGCACCCCCTGGTGGCCCCTGTGAGCTACGGGCTGGCTACAGGGTGTTTCAGAAGGAACCCCAGACAACCACTTGCCGTGGGAGAAACAAGTGTCCTTGGGTCACGGGGCTGAGTACGCCGCGGGTGCTGGCTCACTCTGGTCACACCCGGGCAGAGCCCTACTGGTTGGCCCTGGTGGGGGCAGGGGCAACACCAACCCCGCGCTCCTGAGTTAACAGGAGACCGTGCTCAGGGCCCAGCGGGTCCTACCTGTGTACATGATCCCGTTAATCTCCACTGACATGCTAATACTGTTGCTGCCATTGGGGCCGGTCAAGTTCGGGGCAGAGTCCTGGCGGCTCTCGCAGGCTGCGGGAAGAAGAAACACCACCGTCGGTAGTCATAGGCCCATCTGGGCGAGGACCTGCTTCTGTCAGCACACACAGTAGGTGCTCACTAAATATTTACTGAAGAAGATATCTGTCTAAAATTTGCTTCTCTCATGATGATAAATCTGAAGCTACGTCAGCATCCCTCAAACCATCTCATTCTTTTTAACAGCCCCAGAGTAGCCTGGACTTGACTTGCTCCACTCCTACTAGCTTTGCCGGAGATACGGAGTGGAATCACTGGGTTACAGGGCAAGAATGTTTTCTATTTTAAGAAGAGATTGCCAAATTATCACCTGTTTACACTCCCAGCAGCAGGACTCAATGGGTGCATTTTCCCACATCCTAACCAACATTTAATATCGTCAAACTCTGATGGCTTAAAAAACGGTATCTCCTTGTTAGCATGTAGATCCCCGACTCAGCTTTCCATGGGCATTTTCTACTAGTCATTAATTCGTTTTATCTCTTTCTCTTTCTTATTGATTTGTGGGCACTCTTTACATATGCTGGCTATGAGGCCCTGATTTTGCTGCATAGGCAGGAAGCAGGGAGGGTCTGGGTGCCGGGTGGGTACCTTGGCTGTTGATACGAATGCTCATGGGCAGCTGGGCTGTCATGGCCAGGAAATTCTGCTGCAGTGCCCGCTGCACAAGCCGGTGCTGCTCGTCTGCCACCAGGGCCATCTTTTTCTCAGGAGGCTCCCCAGACTCCAGCTTCTCCCGCAGCTGCTCCAGCGCAGCTGCCTGTGCAGCCACAGCTGCCTGAGCTGCTGCTGCTTGTACAGCCGCTGCCTGGGCTGCCACCACAGGGTGGCCCGCCAGCGACACTGGCAGGCGGCCCGGGACCGTGATGGGGATGGCCGAGTCCTCCTCTAGATGGGAGAGAAGAGGCATTGGCAGCCAGAGGGGCACCAAGAAGCCTGGTGCTGCCTTCCCCCCTGGCAGGAAGGTGCAGGTGTGCACACCCTCTCCGGGGAAGCGGCAAGGCTCTGAGACACACATGAGTGCTGGGGAGCCCTTCCTGAGGTCAGCCTGGTGTCGGAAACTGGCGTGTCGGAAACCACGGCCTAGTGCCGTGGTGGGTGCAGGTGTGCCCGGCGCCCATGCTATCCCAAAAGCCCGCGACAGGGCGCTGGTCACGAACGACACTAGCGAGAGCAGCAAGGCCTCCCTGTGTGTCCTAACGCACTCAACACGACCCGTCCGGAGAGGACTCTCAACGACCCCGTGCCAGCCCCATGCTCCCACCCTCGCCTCACGGATGAGGAGACCCAAGCTCCAGGCGGCAACGGCTATGCCAAGGCCACAGAGCTGCAGTCACCGAACTGGGACTCGAACCCGGGCAGCTCAGCTCCAGAACCAGCTCCCGCCCGTTCCCGTTTCTGTGGGGGAAACCAGGGTCCCATTGTGACCCGCTGTCTCTTTTTTCCTGACTCCTCCCCCGTGTCCTTCCCCTGTTGCCTGGCGTGTTTTCCCCCTCTGCACCAGACCCTCACCCAGAAGCTTTGTGGCACCCCCCAACCCCTGTCTAGGTTGCAAGGGAACACCACCTGGGGGCTGGGACCCTACACCATGGGCCCCCACAGCTGCCCATCCCTTCCTGGTTCCCTCCTGTAGGAAAGGCTCCTTCCCGCCCACCGCCCTCGCCCCAGCTCTGGCGCCACGAGTGGCTGACAACCATTGGCGGGGACCGCCGGAGCTCCCGGGCGGAGGGGGTGGTGGTGGGTAAACCAAGGTGCCAGAGGACTGAAGGAGCAGTCGTTAGAGACCGCGCTCGCCTCGGACCTGAGCAGCCTGAACCGTGGGGATTCCCCTGGGCCCTCAGGCTACTCAGAGGATAGGGGGTCAAAGCCCGTGGGGCAGGGGAGAAACACTCAGTGACCCGGCCTGAGGCCTGGGGCCGCACGTGCAGTTAGTGCCTCTGTGTTACACGGGATTCAGAGGTTCAGCGGGAGAGAGGCTGTCATCGACTGGTGACGCTGGCCCCGGATGGGGGGCTGCCTGGCCGACACCCGAAAACTCGGCCCACTGCCCGCTGGGCACCGTCGCGCTGCAGCCCCCACTTCTACAAACCCACAGGCACAGGGTAACTTTCCCCACATCCCGGCTGGAAGCTAGCCTCAGGGTGCACCACGCAGCAGCTCCGGGGTGGGTGAAGGTCAGCCTGATAGGCTACAAGGTCAAGACACCTGCAGGACTGACGCTGTGTTGAGAAGGCTCCAAAGCTCCCAGGGGGAAGAATACAGCAATCGGCTAGTAATGTCTGCTGGGGGCGATGACCACGGCCACACCGCTGGCCCAGCGACAGTCACCCCTCACGATGCCTGCCCCGGCGTCAGGAAAGAACACGGCACGCAGTCAGCAACATGTGCGCCCTGTGGCCCGGCCGGTGGTCGGCCAGTAACGTCTGCCCTGGGCCCCGGCGGGGCAGCTGCGCCCGCTCTCCCGGGCCGCCGCCGAAGGGCTCCCTGCGGGGCACGCTGGGGGTCATCCTCCGGTGACCTGGGGGGAGCGGCGGCCCCGAGTCCCCTCTGCGGTCAGAGGGCCCCGCCAGTGCGGCGCCGAGTCGGGCCCCGAGGGGGGCGCCCCTTACCTTTCTTGATCTTGGGCGCAGGGGGGACAGAGCTGCCGTTGGTGCTGGCGGCGAGGCCCAGCGAGGGCACGGGCAGCTTGGGTGAGGACAGCATGCCGTGCGCGCCGCCAGGCGAGTAGGCGAACAGGGAGCCCCCAAAGCTCTGGCGCCGGCCCTCCCGCCGGTTGCTGTCGATGGCGGCCTGGAGCTCGTTGGGGCTGCTGAGGCCGCGCTTCTCGCACTCGTAGGGGTACAGGTATTTCATGTACCTGCGTGCAGGGGGGCGGTGAGGGTGGCACGCGGGCGCTGTGCCTCCCGCCGCACAGTGCACAGTGCGGACCCCCGCCCCCCCACCCCGGTCCCCCTCCCCACAGGCGCTCACTGGGTCCGCAGGGTGAAGGCCGCGCTGGTGATGGACGTGGGCAGGTTGAGGCCCTTGGTGATCTCCCGCCACAGCTTCTTGTTGATGACCTCCACCAGGCCGCCCTTCTCCGTCACCAGCACGTACAGCATGAACAGGTCAAGCACTTGCTTGGCCATGATGGGGATGCGGTTCACGGGCGTCCCTGTGGGGGGTCGGGGGCGGTGAGTGGAGGGGGCGTCACCGCCACCGTCTGGGACTGACACGCCCACGGGAGAGGGGTCTCTCCCGACAGGGGGACAGGGCATGCTGCTCTCTGGGGGGCGTCCTGGCTGCTGAGCCGCAGCCCCAGCCCCACCCCCTCGGCACCGAGAGCACCCCATCGTGACAACCGTGACAACCGCAGGCGTCCCTGGTGCGGCCCTGTGTCTCCTAGGGGGTAGGGCTGTGGGGGGGCGGGGATCCCCCCCAAGAGAGTGTGAGGAAGCCTGTTTCTCCATCAGGGATCCGGGCTCCTGGCTGATCTCACCTGGGGGTACAGAGATGGGGGCCGGCGCAGGGCCAGGCTGCGGAGCCGCAGCAGAAACTGGGCCTCCATTAGTTCTGCTCCCAGAGTGACAAAATCACTCTGACCAGTCCCAGGGGCCTGCGCCCTCGGCCACCCGCCCACCGCCCACCGCCTTTGCAGTGGGGAGGAGGCAGAGCTCCGCTGGGCCACTTTGCTGCTTAAGACAGGGGGGCAGTGGACCTGGCCAAGGACGGGGGGTTGCTCCCAGCGGACAGGCCTGGTCCCCCTGTCCACCGGCCCTGAGCCTCAAGCCTCTGCTCCTGTCCCCATCGCCCTCGTGCGGGGGCCTTCAGCTTGGCCTGGGTGGCGCCTTCCTGGCTGGGGGGAAGCCCCTCCCGTTAGAATTCTCCCTGCCATTGCAATCCTGGGGTGCCGTCTGTGGCCCCTAGCTGCTGTCCTGTCGCCCGGGGTCCCCGACCTGGACCCCCTGGTGCCCAGCCTGCGTCACGCACACCTGCAGCCCCCCCAGAGATGGGCCCACCGTGGGCCCAGGTTGTGGCTCCCCAAGAAGGCCCGGCCCAGCGGGTCGGTTGGAGCTGGAGGTTCCAGAACCACTTCCTGCCACCTGTGGCCACGTCTGCCCTTTCCAGGTTTCCAAACCCCCACGAACAGAGGACTGCCTGGAGAGGGCAGAGGGGAGCTGGACTTCAGACCCCCACCCTTGCCCAGTTCCATTTCTCAGCACAAGAGAGAGAGAGGAAAAGGCAACCCCCATGTCAGGGGCTCCCCCCGCCCACCCGGGATGCTGGTGTATGTTGCACACTGGGCAAGAACAGAAAGAATCACACAAAAGGTCCTCTGGGGACCCCGCGCCCAAGGTCGGCATCCGGGCCTGATCGGATGTTTACAGAAGGAGCGGGGCGGAGGGCCGAGAGGCTCCGGTGCAGGACGGGGGCGTGGGGGCCGCGGGGGAGATAAGGAAGGGTGGGGAGGTCTTCGAGGAAACAGCAGGAGGGTGGGGTGCAGGCAGGACCCCTCCCGCACTCCCAGCCCCCAGAATTCTGACAGGCCTTTACTTTGTGATGTGGGAAAAGAAAGAACTTTCTGTCTGGAGTGAAGGCCTGTGGGATGTGGGACGCGGCGTCTGCGGGGTGGGTGCCAGTTATAGAGGGCGAGGATCCAAGAAGGCAGCAAGGGCGAGGGGCGCTTGGGGCTGGGTTCTGAGGCATGTGTAGGAGTTTGTTGCTCCCTGTCCTCCGGGGGAGCCTGGCTTGGCGCTAGAGGCAGGGCTGGACTCACACCCTCAGAGCCCTGAGTGGCTGCTGGTTCCACTGCTGTTTCTGGGGCCTCCCCACCCCGACCACACTCACGGGCTGCTCACCACACCTTCTGAACCTGCAGGACACCAGGCCCAGTCTTGGGCAGGGTGGGTGGGCTCCTGGCCTGGGGACTCAGTGCTCCCTGCAGGGTGGGGGGTGGGGGGTGGGTGGGGGGCTCCCACAGGTGTGGATGGGTTGATAAAGAGAGTGGGGCAAGATCTCTCTGACCACACGGGGGGCAGCCGGCCCAGCTGGGACTGCTCCCAACGATAACGAGGGGGCCCCTTGCCCCAGGACTGGGTCTGGATTCCTCCGCCCTGGCAAGGCACGGGAGGGGTTAATGGGAAGGCTGCGGCCCCTCCCCTTTCATCTTCCCTTCCGGCTGCTGGGCCTGGTGTTTACAGAGGCTGTTGGAGAGCTAGAGGCATGCAGAGGGCCCTGGACAAAGCAGCCGGTGGCCGGCCCCTGCAGTGGGCCCGAGTGGACCCTGCAGTACCCCGCCAGCCCCGCCCCTTCCTGCGTCCAGGGCTCAAGGACAAGTCCCCTCCCTGGGCCTCAGTTTCCTTCCCTGAACAGTAGGCGTTGTAATAGCTCCCACCATGGGGGCTGGTTCTGGTCAGAGGGACCAGCCCCACACTGCAGGGGGTACCTCTAGAACCCCTCCCCCAGGTCCGTCTATCTGTCCGTCTATCCGTCCATCCAGCTCTCTCTGCCCCATGGCAGCCCTGAGCTGAGGCTGAGGCCACGGGTAGGGCCGTGGGGCCCTTCTTGCTGCCCCAGGTCCTCTCTGCCCTTGGCTTACCCTGAACGCCTCGGATACCCTCCAGTGTCTGGATCTCGGTTTCCCCACAGGGACGCCCACCCAGACCAGTCCCCGCTCTCTGTGCCCAGGCCAGGCTATTTATGGCGTCCGTCTCACCCCAGAGCCAGGGGGGCCTGAGGGTGGGATGGGCCGGGCACACTGTTGGCACTCAGCCCGTCTGGGGCTCTGCTGCACAGTGGTAACTGCTTACGCCCCACCTCACAGGGAGAGGCACTGAGGCCCTGGCAGGCGCAGGCGAGGGGCTGGAGCTGCTTCTGTCCCAGCGCCTGCTGCCCTCCCGGGAATCCAGCCCGGCTCCCTGTAGGCTGGCTCTGCGGCCGGAGATCCTAGGGGCGGTGGGGCCCGAGGGGTGGGAACCTCATCACACCACGGGTCTGGGCTGGGGACCTGAGACATCCTACCCAAGGACCCACCCCTTAGATGCTCCCAGCTGTGTCTCCCCCATCAGACCTAAAGGCCAAGCAGGCCCCGCCCTCCTGCCCGCCCCCTCCTGCTTCCCCCGACCAGCGACCAGCGGTGGGTGGCCTCACCTCGCTTCTGCATGAAGCTAAACAAATCGTCCAGGAACTCCTTCCTCTTGGGGTCCCCGTCCAGTTCGTAGAGCTGTGGGGTCAGGGAGTGGATGGGGAGGTCAGCGTCAGAGCCCAGGTGCGGGCGCCGCGTCCCCACGGAGCCTAAAGAGCCCGCCCCCACTTTCGGATGAGGACGCCGGTCCCCACGTGCGTCCTCAGCAGTGGCCACCACCAAGCCACACACAGGGCTGCTCAGAGCAAAGGTTTACTCTCCCCCCACTGTGGAGGGCAGAGCCCAGGTCCATGCGCATCAGGGCTGAGCCCCCCGGAGGGAGGGTCCAGAGCACGGTCCCTCCCACTCCCCCCAACTCGGGGGCCCCAGGTACCCCTCCAGTGTCGACCTCTGCCTCTCACGCTTCCTCCACGCGTCCTGAAGGCTGTGCCTGCTGGCCCAGGGCCGCCTCATCTGAGGGCTCCCTGCCTGACTGCGGCTGCAGGGACCCGATCTCAAGCCAAGCCTCGTCTTCCGGCCCTGGGAGTCAGGTCTTCAACCCGTCACTTGGGGGACACAATTGGGCTAAGACACACAACACTCGGGCCGACCGCTGCCTTACAGCGGACAGACGCATCTGCTGCTGTCCCGAGGCACACACTCGCCTTTGCTCCAGGCGTGGCTCCATTTTGTAGATGCGGAAACTGAGGCCCAGAGGCAGGCGTGAATCCAGAGCCTGGGAATGTCCAGGCCTCTGGGCCCACGTTCTGTCCTGGGCACTGGCTGCTGGGGTTCTCCCGTCCCTGCACTGGTGGTTAGGGGCCCCCAGATGCACAGACCCTCAGCTCCCAGGAGCCAGCAGGCAGTATAGGAAGGCGGCAGAGCTAATTGGGGGCTGGAGTTTGTGCAGGCGGGGGTTGGGGGGACAGCAGCAAACAGCAATCTTCAAATTAAGCCCTGGGGAACGGACCCTGAAGGTTCAGGACTGTGGGGGGGCCTCGAAACCACCCATCAGCCACAGCCAGGGCAGCCCATCATTAGGGCCCAGGAATGCGGCAACACCCAGCGCCTGTGCCTGACCAACCCCGGGGCCTGGGCAGGCAGGGTGCCTGGGGCTAGCTACCCCTCAGCCATCTCGCTCCTCTCTGGGCTTGGGTTTCCCGGTCCTGGAGCGGAGACAGAGTGGGGCCTCCGGGCACAGGCCGGGGTGGTCCAGGCTGGGTCTTTGTCTCTGCCCTGATCCAGCCGGGCTGGCCAGCCGCATTCCTGGGCTGATTTATGGTGGTCTGGGAGGCCCTGCACTTCCCCCTGCCTGGGGCCCTCGGCCCGCAGCTATGGCTCCCCGTGGGCGCGCGCCTGTCCCCCACCATACATCCCACCACATGGGGCAACACGCGGTGCGGTCTCCCGCCCGCCCGCGGGCACTTTGTCCGGTTCGTCGCTAGTGTCCGGACGGGGTGAGTGCACAGCAGCTGAGTGAGTGGACGTCCGACGGGCCCGGAGTGCTCAGCCCCAGCGGGAGCCGGGATGGCAGGGGCCCTACAATTCGCCTCTACCCACGCCTCAGACCATGACCTCACCTAACGGGGTCTTCACGGACGTCACCCGCTAAGATGAGGTCGTACTCACCGGGTTAGGTCCAGCCTCACCCGACCACAAGTGTCCTTATGGAGGTCAGACGGGGCCCAGGCAGAGATGTGGCCACGCCTGATGCTGGAAGAGGCAGGAGGGACCCTCCCCAGAGCCCAGCCTGGATCTCAGACCTCTGCTTCCAGAATGCGGGAGGACAGAGTCCTGCTGCTTTCGGCCCCCCCAGTCCGTGGTCATTGTTAAGGCCACTCCCATGGGGTTGAGGGACCACATGCCCCTCCTGACAGGGCCAACAACTCCTGTGAGATCCCGGCCCGGGGAACCACCTTGCCAGAACCTTCCCTGCACCCAGCCCCCAAGGAGACCTCAGTGCCCCCTGCACCCCGCCATGCCGCAACTTTCCTTCCCATCAATGCAGGAGCTTCGCCCTGAGCTCCCAGAGCCATCGTGACACCCGGGTTCCAGCTGGGGAAACTGAGGCTCAGGATGGAGACCTGGCAGCAGGGGCAGCCGGCTTGGTGGGGAGCCGCTAACCCCAGGCCAATGGTGGGTGGACAGGCCTGCGGCACAGCCCGGTCAGACCCCCGTGGGGCCAGGGTATTGTCTGGGGCCGTAAAGGGGGCTGTGCCGGCCCCCGGCTGCTGGGGAGGAGGGAGCTCTAATGGCTGCTGGGGGCTGCCGGCAACAAAGGGGCAGTAAAGGCCGCCCCGGCTTTATGGGGCTCTGGCCCCGAGTTCCGCTCCCCTGCAGGCTGCGCCCTGCCCTGGCCAGACCAGATGGATGGGGGCGTGGGGGCTGGCGTCCAGACCCCATTGTGGGCCGGCGGGCCCGCCGTCTGTCCTCGCTGGGCTCCAGGCTGCCCCGTGCCGAGCCTGGGCCGTTGTCCCATGGGAGTCTCAGGCTGAAACCTTGCCCTGCTCAGGGTGGTCCAGGAGGTGCGGAGACAGGTCGCCTGCCATAGCCACAAACCAGGGCTGGAGACCGGAGAACCTTCCAGAAGCCCCTCCCTGGGTTACCGGCCTCCCGGAGCCCGCAGCCGGTGTTCCCAGGGGCCCCACGCGGGGTGCTTGGCTCACGGGGTCTGACTCAGGCTCCCGGCTAACGAGGGACGCCCTGTAGCCCCAGGGTCTACGGACCCTCCCTGCAGGCATCTCGCTGCTCCCGGAACCTGCTGGGCGCAGAGGCAGGCCCACCTCTGGGAGACCCCACGCTCCGCACCCTCAGGGACATGTGCTGGGGTGGCCCGTTTTCTCGCTCGCTGACACCCTTGCTCCCAGCCCTTCCGCCGCCCCATGTCTGGAAGCAGGCACACAGTAGCTGCTTAATAAACGCCCTTGACAGCTCAGGGCACCCCGGTGATGGGGCGCTCGTCCCTTCCCAAACCCATTATGTGCCCTGCAAGGCTCAAGCTTTGGGTGGGTGACACCCTGCGCCAGGGTTGGGGGGGGTGCGGAGGCCGGCTCTACCCTGTCACTTCTGCCCTGTGACCTGGGTCCGCCTGCGTCCACCCGCCCGGCCACACCTGTCTGTCCACCAGTGAAATGGGTACAGAATCTTGAGATGGGGGATGTGGACACAGGCGAGTCTGGGCTAGATGCCCCCAGGGTCCCCGCTGAGAAGCACGGCAGCCAAGTCCCTCCCTGGCTCCAGAGCCCGGTGGGGTCGGGGGTCACACTCAGCGCCCCCGTGGGGCCCCCGGCTGGTCTCTGGGCTGCAGCTGAGGGTGAGGGAGGGTGTCGGGCCACTCAGTGCCGAGGCTGGGCTGACCCTGGTTCAGTCTTCCCCAAATCACACCACCCACTTCACAGAAAAGGACACTGAGGCACAGGGTGAGGGCTAAGCCTCCCCTGTCACCCCACTGGGCAGCCAGAGGGCCTTCCCAGCAGCCTGAGCGGGAGCCCCCCGCCCCACAGTCTCCCGCATCCCCGTCACCCCCAGCAAGGCCCTGAGTCCTCCCCAGCCTCCCCGGCTTTCTGAGGGACAACATCCTGCCCCCCCCCCCCCCCCCGCGGCCACGTGAGCTGGAGGCAGACAAGGTCGGGAAGGCTCAGGTAGAGGCAAGCCCACCCTCCAGGCGCACGGATGGGCAAACAGGAAATTCTTGTTTGTGGCCAACGAGCATTTCTGTCTGGGCCTCTGAGAAAGTCCTGGGGTCATGATGCTGACCCGGCAGAGCTGTGTGTCCATGTCTGGGGGTGGGGGGACCCTTCAGCCTCCGGGCCGAGAAGACAGCAGACCCCTCGGGAGCCCAGCAGCTCAGCCCCAGCGCCCGGCCCCATCCCCGGGCCCCCAGCACAGAAGGTAGGAGGAGAAGGTCCCTCCCAGCCACCACTGACCCGCAGGAGAGGGGCTTGGTCATGTCCATGTGGGCTGGGCACCACCAGGGCTGCCTTCCGAGGCGTGACTGGCCCCGAGAAGGTCCCGTGGGCGTGAGGCCCCACCCGGCCAACAGCACGCCGGTTCCCAGCCTGTCCCCAGGGGCCCGAGGTGGCGTCCAGCCCAAGGCCGAGGGGCCCAGGCTGTAAAGCAGCCGCCCGCTTATGGGGCCCCCGGGAGGACCTTTGCCCCTTTAACGGTGTCTGCTCAGGCCCCCTCCTGCCACCCGGGTGGCTCCAAAGTCCGCAGGGCCCCACCTGAGGCCATGGTCCTTCCAAGGCAGAGACAGGGGCCCAAAGTAGGAAAAGTCAAGGAAGGGCCCAGTAAGTCTGAGCCCCCCAGGAAGAGGCAGCAGAGAGACGCCCAAGGACACAGAGGCTTCCCGAAGCTGCGGCTCCCGGGAAACCAGAAACGCGCCCTCCACAGCCACCAGCGGGTCCCAAACGCCCCAGACCAGACGTGCTCAGAGCAGGGCTGCGAGGGGACGGGGACGGGTGGAAGGGCCGTGGGCAGGCCCGGGACCCCAAGTGCTGTCAATCTACCTACTGTCTCTGAACCTTAAGAAAAATGTATTTATGGAATCGAGAATCACATCACACAGAATTCACCACTTTAAAGTGAGTGTTTCAGTAGTGTTGAGTGGATTCAGAGTCCTACAACCATGGCCTCCTTGTGATTCCGGAACATTCCATCAGTCTGAACAAACCCCGTCCCCATCAGCCATCACCCCTCCCCTCCCCAGCCCCCGGCCCCCACAAGCCCCTTCCCGTCCATGGAGGAGCCTGGTCTGGACGTGTCACACGCGTGGACTCACACCCCGTGTGGCCTCCTATGTCTGGTCCCCTCCCTGTGCGTCATGGGCTCGGGGGCCGTCCCCGGGGCCGCACGTGGGGCCTCGCTGCTGCTGGTGGCCGGGATGTTCCCTGTTTGCCCATTGGTGGATGCTAGGGTGCTGCCACCTTTGGACTATTTTCACGAACCCCGCTGCTAGGACAGGAGCTATCATCTCCCCTATCTTCATACCCTTGGGGTTTTGGGTTAAGAACTGATTCCTTGTAAGTTCTGAGAGCAGAGCGAAGCAGGGAGAAGGTGGCCCGGCTGTTTTCACCCCCGTCCCCCCAGAAAACACCCGG